CTCTGATCGTTCAGGAACTCCGGCTCGTCGCCTTGCAGCGCTACCTGCTCTGTGAGGTCCTGAGATGCATCCTGCCACTGCTGCCACGGATTATGCCGCGCCGCGTTAGCGTCCGCCACAAGGCCAACTGCTTGCAGCTCGCCGAGCTCGGAGTCGTCGACACCATCTACGCCCAGGAGGTCGGTTGCATCCTCGGCCTCTGAGGGCAGGTCGTTGGCATCATGCACTGCTTCAGCATCAAGATCGGCATCCAGCTTGGGTGCTTTTGAGGCCTTGGTGTTTGGCGATGACTTGGCCTTTGCAAGCTTTTGATTCTCAGATGGCTCTGCCATATCACTATTCTTGTCCTCATCCTGCTGTTTTCTTTTCTCTTTCTTCTTATTCTCCTTCTTCTCCTTCTTCTCCTTCTTGTCCTTCTTCTCCTTCTTGTCCTTCTTCTCCAACTCCTCACATCCCCAGCACCATCTTCCGAATTGTGTGGCTAAAAGGGCGGGTTCCCCGACACAATTTTAAGAACCCATCTTCTGCGATCTTCTGCTCTTGGGCCCTTTCGTGGCAAGTGAAACGTGTCTCCTTCGCCGCGTCCGCAGCCGTGCCCTTGAACGGGCTGCCTGGCGACGGCGACGCCTCCACCTTCGCCTTCTTCCTGGCCGGGGATGGCGTGGCCTGTCGCTTCGCTTTGGGCTGCGTGGGCTCCTGACGTTGGAGCCAAGCCCCACTAGTCCAAAACGGGAAATGGGCATATGCTTTTTGAGTTGGTACCTTGTCAGCTTTGTTTTAGGGAAGCCCAACAAACCACACCACCATTTCATCAGGCACAAAGAACACCATCATTTTCGGGGGGCTTCTCTACACATCCATTGGTTTCCCCTGTCCTTTGTCTCGGGCTCAGGTGCCTTCGAGTTGGCCTCCAGCTCCTCGATCTTCTGCTCCGCCTCGCTGACCCCGAAGCACACCAACTCGCGCAGGGCGTCCACCGTGACCCCAGCGCAGCCCTTCTTGGAGGCCGGCTTGGCCAGGTGCGAGCGGATGCCACGCACCCCACAGGACGCACCACAAAAGCCGCAGAACCAGAGTTTACTCTTGCCACTGTTGCTGACCTTCACCTGGCTCGTGTCACTCTTCACACGCAATTCTACATCTTGCTCACCTGGCTTCACGAATATACCGTTGCTCGCGGCCCATTGCTGCAACTCGGATTCCATTGCAGCCTGCTTGTGTGTTTTGTGTGCTGTGTGTGCCTCATGCAGAACGCCTGGTAGCGTTCATCACGTGTGTGTGTGTGTGTGCCGTGTTGCTACAGTTGCCCAGCTTTGCAGTGGTTTGCATTGCTGTGTAAACATGCTCAGCCATGGAGCCGAAAGCTGGCCATGGCAAGCACACTCTTATTAATAAACAAGGTCGGCAACCAGACCTGAACATTGGCTGTTTGCCTCCCTGAATCGGCAACAGCACTTTTCAGTGCAATAGAATAACATTTGTCATGCTGAACCTATGACTGAACCTTTGACCTTCTGACTCCCTCGGGGGCCTAGTCCATTTCTCCCTCTTTCCGCAAAGTAGGGCCTTTTTTGGAGCATTGTAGGTTTCGTAGCTGGGTTGATCGAATTTTGGTCCTGGATTCCTAATCCTAATCCGCAACGCGTGGGAGACCACAACTTTGAACAACCCTATCTGACCATCAGGACCTGCAGCTCAAAAGCTCATGGGCCTTCCAAACTCCAAGATGTACCAGGCGGGTTGAGCCGGCCTCATGGGCCCAAAGACCAAACTTTTAGTCCAGGCTGCTAACCTCCTTTCTCAAGCGAGCGTTCTCCTTGGCCACTTTCTTGCCGATGCTTCTCTCCTCCTCGAGGAGCCGTTGCAAGGATGCTTCACCTGAGCCGCGCCGCATAACTAATCACTCTCTGCCGTTGCGTCCAGAGGGTCCTGACTCAGCAAGGCAACGAAAATGGTGCCCACCGATGTTCAGGGGCCAACAACATACGGCAAAGAGATGTGTCCTTTTGCACTTCTCTGGGACAAGTTTGGCATACCCCCAAGCCAATACCACTGTTGGCGGGGCATACGTTTTGCCAAGGCAGTCACGAAGATAAAGGGAACATCTTGAAAAAGCCAGAGCTTCAATGAAAGTGTGGAATATCAGATTTGTGGAATATCAGATTTCGGTTGCCCGATGGCAGCCCCCCACCAGTGATAAACCAAATTTCTTGGACAGCCTCATGGTGGCTCGTATCATCTCCAAATATCCACATCGGCTGGCAATGGAGCAAACTCAAAACAAAACCAACGTTCAGCAGCTACGTCTGACCCTTTACTCCGGCTGTAGCTTGTCGTGCCTCTCTCGCGTTCGTGCAGTGCTTTCTTGAGACGAGCGTTGTCTTGCTCCAGCTGATGGTAGGCATCTTCAAGGCGATGAAGTTCCGAACCTGGGCATTCGTGTGTGTGTGTGTGTGTCTCTGTGTCTGTGTGTGTGTGTGTTTGGGTCTCTGTGTATGGGTCTCCTCCATTTGCTTAAGGCCCCTGGAAAAAAGAAAATAATTCAGTAGTGATAGATTCCCTTAAAAACCAACAGGGGGAAATAAACAATATTCTTAACCAAATGGCAGGTCTCTGTGTGTCTCTGTGTGTGTGGGTCTCTGTGTATGGGTCTCTGTGTGTGTGGGTCTCCCTCTGTTTGTTTGTTTGTTTGTTTGTTTGTTTGTTTGTTTGTTTGTTTGTTTGTTTGTTTGTTTGTTTGTTTGTTTGTTTGTGTGTGTGTGTGGGTCTCTGTGTGTGGGTCTCCGTGTGTGGGTCTCTCTCTGTGTGTCTGTGGGTCTCTGTGTGTCGGTCTCTGTGTGTGTGTGTGTGTGTGTGTGGGTCTCTGTGTGTGGGTCTCTGTGTGTGGGTCTCTATGTGTGTGTGTGTGTGTGTGTGTGTGTGTGTGTGAGTCTCTGTGTGTGTGTGTGTGGGTCTCTGTGTGATGTGTGGGTCTGTGTGTGTGGGTCTCTGTGTGTGTGTGTGTGTGGGTCTCAGTGTGTGGGTCTCTGTGTGTGGGTCTCTGTGTGTGGGTCTCTGTGTGTGTGTGGGTCTCTCTGTGTGTGTGTCTCTGTGTGTCTGTGTGTGTGTGTCTGTGTGTGTGTGTGTGTCTGTGTGTGTGTGTCTGTGTGTGTGTGTCTGTGTGTTTGAGGGTGTGCCTTTTTGCGGCTGAAAGATACAAGTAAAAACCTCATATGTTGCGCCCCTCTACTTTGCAACGCATATCCACATGCCTTCTCTGCGTGTGGTGCGTGCAGCAAGCTTCAAGCAAAGCAGCCGCTAGCTCACGGGGCATGGCTCAGAATTGCCTTTCGCTCTGCATGTAGGTTCCGTCAACCCCCCCCATCCAGATAGCCCAACAACACGAGGGCTAGTTGAAGTCGGGTGCCCAGTACAAGGTTCGGGCAAGGATCACCCCCATAAATCCGCACTTGGGGGTGTCAAATGAACCTCACAAGAAGCTGAATTCTGCTTGAAGCCGTGTACTTTCTCTCCTTCCACCTGGGCCGGGAGCAAGCTGTCAGGTTCGAGGAACTGTTTTAAGTCGGATTGCAAATCCAGAGGTCGCTTGTGCCCGGGATGCGATTTAGACAAGATTCAGGAGATGATGGGAACAGGTTGCCTCCAACTGGAGGTGCAAAAGACATGCGAGCCATGTCAAATCAGTTACTTGTTTCCCTCTTTCCATGAATCATGGAAGACCAGTGCGCCCTTGAAAACGCCTCTGTTGTAGAACGCCACATGCTTGCTGATTGAGTCACATCAAAACACACCTTCTTGAGGCCTCACTAGCCTAACCTGCAGGATGCCCTGTTCACTTCCATGTTCGACCCAAGTTTAGTGTGCCTCGCTGCCGCTCGGCCAAAGCTTGCTCCAAGCGCTTGTTGGTGTCTTCCAGCTCCTGAGCAAGGGGGTGGGGAAGCGCTTCCCCGTTCCCCGATTGCAAACCCAACACCATGGACATCAAAGTCCATCCACCGCATAAGCCGAACCGCACTGTCCGAAACCTGCCGTGTACTCTTTGCCTAGCTCTACCTTTCCTAGAGAAAGAACAAGCAAAGCATGCGGCAAATCAGCCATGCCTAGAGGCCAGGACCATTTGGCTGTGCCTTTTTCTGAGGGTACTCTTGGTTTTTGTTGCCCAAGGGAAACGCGCAGAACCGTCCAAAAGGTGAGAACCACACTCGCTCCTGGAGCCGGCCCCGCAGATCGGCCAGCTCCTTCTGCAACTCCTCAGGGGTTGCATCGGTTTAGGCCACCTGCTTTTTGGACAGCGCTTGGGGGTTTGCACATGGGCAACAAATGGAACACGCAGTTGCTGGGTGGTGCTGGAAGGAGTCCGTTAAATCTACAAATGGGGACCCCCCCTCACAAATCCAAGCGGTAGCTTTGTGGGTGTTTGTAGGTTCCATGTCAACTGCAGGAGGGTAAAACCATTGATTAAACAGCAGGTTGGCCTAGAACCCAACGCTGCCTCCCGGTGCCGCCGCAGGGTTTGCAAATCCTCCCGCTCCGAACGCTCCAAGGAGCTGCGCTCCAAGGAGCGCTCCTGGGCCTCATGGACGAACCGTGGCATGGTGTTGTTTTGTTTTGTTTTTTCTTCGCGCGGGCGCGTTTTTACAATCTATTGGCCTTGTTTGGGGACGTCATTGTTTTGGAGAAGCCCCCACAAAGGCTTGATTTTGAACAACCCGGAAGACTCACTACCACTCACCTTGCGTCTCGAAGGGGTCCCTAAAATGTGTGGCTTTCTTTTGGTTTCTTTCTTTGCGACTCTCACTTTCGCGCCTTGTCCCAGTAGCACAGCGGCATGGGGACCAAGGCCCAGGGCATCCGAGGGCTCTCCTCGCGCCGGCCCGAGGGCGTGGCAGAGGCGGCAGCTGCGCGGATGCGGGCCGTGGTGTCAGCAGCTGCAGCCAAGGCGACCTCTTCCTGAGCCATGAAACCAAAAGAAATGTCAAGGTGGAGGGTATAAGGTGTCTTTTTTGTGTGTGCTACCGGTCTGCGCAAGCCAATGCAGAAAGAGGGTGGTAATCCGCACCTGCTTCCGGTTGGGACTGTGCCTTACTAACCTTCATCTACCCAGGTGTTGATTGTGAATCTCCTGGGCCAAGAGTTGAGGATCCTCACATCTAACATGAAACCTTTCTGGGTGCTAAGAGGAAATCTCTGGTTTTAGTCTTGAACAAGTGTTGTTTCACCTTCGAGCGAGGTCAGAGCAGTTTGTGCTCTACAGTGGTGCTTTGACAGTACCTTGGCTCGTATACCGTATACCCCTTTCCATTTCTCCCTCCATTTGTCTAGTATTTCACACTCACCAAGGGGGGCGGGACTACAAGGAATCCCAGGCCGCCTCCCTACAGCGCCACTGTTTGAAGGGTTGGTGATGGTTTACTGCAACATAAGCCCCTCAAAAAGTGCCAAAACAATGCAAACAACGAGCGGGTTCCAAAGATTAAAGCATTCCATGTGTTTTCTGAAAGTATCACGCATCAAGCATGTGTTGCACTTGCGGATGCATGACAGCTTGATCAGGCATGATACACTTAAATGTTAGGACACTTTGAGGGTGCCAAGAATCCAACGATGCAAAGTCCGTCTTGGGGTCAAAAGACCATGGTGTGACGGGCTCCCAGATCGCAGGCTTATCCCAGCGAGGCGGAAGCGGAGCTGCCCGCACATCGCGCATGGCCAGCGGGCCTCGGGGCCTTGGGGCCCTAGGGCCTTGAGCTGTCCGCCCCGGGCGATGCCAGCAACGGGTGAAGTGACAGCCTTCCAATGAGTGAAAAAGAAAACCGGTTGGGAGGCTTTGACTGGGAACGGAAATGACAGGAACGACGGCGGTAAACAAACCATGGGGCCTAGCCCAAATATGCGGCGATGTGACACACGTCAAGATTACTTGTTCCGCAAGGACCTTTGGTGAGTCGCGCATGTCCTTCCCAAATCAACTGTAGATTAGAAATCTTGACCGGATGTCTCATCAGCCCGGTATCAGAATTCGTGCAAGGCAAGCAAGTAAGCGTGCACCCCGCCATGCCAAGTAAAGGAAGTGCTGTGCTGAGGATGTTGGTCTTCGGAGCCTCACGAATTCGCGGAATGTCGCTGATCCCAAGTCTGACTCCCCTTTGCCAATTGCAGCTTGCAGCCTTCTCCTCGCCATCTGCACCGTCCAGCATGACCTTGGCAACATGCCGGGCATGCACAGCAAGAAGGGCTTCTTGGATGTTTTTCTTTTTGGTAGGGGGTCCTGATGCTCCCCTGATGGTAGGAATGTAAATTCTTAGCCCTGTGCCAGTCGACAAGCCACCGCCCCAAGAAGGACCTTAGTGCGCAAGCCCGCCTAAAATCCGCGCCTCTAAACCATGACCCCGAAGCCTCGATCAAGGCGTAGAATGGGCTGAATCGCTGCCTCAGCCGCACCAATTCCCAGGCCAGCGTTTCAACCGTGGGCAAACAAAAGGTGTTGGCCCTATCCTGCCAACACGGGTTATGGGCGGTTCACCTTGGTGGGATGGCCCGCGTCAGGGCGCAGGCATGTTGAACATGGCCAGGTTAGGCAGCGCCTCGGCATCTCATGTCTCCCTGGGCCCTGCCACGGACCCCACCGGCTCTTGCTGGCCTTCGGATTCATCGCGCCCTCCAACATGCCCCAGGCCTCAAACAGGCCATTTCTGAGATTGCAGTTGGGCGTGGTCCAGCTACTTTCCCAGCTCAAAGCCATCTCCAAACTTCAAACGAGCTGATCTTGGAGCACGAAGTGTGCTCGCAAATAAGCCCCAGCTCTTGCACGATGCGCGCGCCTGGAAGTCGTAGCAATACCCCAACCTCACTTGTGCTATGCTCGAACTCCTCATGTGCGGGGGAGTTATCTATAGATATCCTTACCTTACCCTGTTTTCCAAGTTGCTGACCTAGATTGCTGAGCGCTGTGTATCAACACATGATCACAGAGACGTTTCTACAAACGTGTTCCTAAAGCCTCCACTTCTTATGGAGCAGTGCAAGCTTGAGGTCAGCTTCAGAAACTCTGCAGCCCCGTGATGCCGGACCTCTTGTTTGCTGGAAGAACATTCCAATCAACGCAGGCAAGACTCTCCCGGCCACCACCTCCCGTCAACGCCAAGGCCCCGTCGTTTCACGCTTGTGCCATACTGTACAGCAAAGCAGAACCCAAAAGTCAAAAGATGCCTCCAGGTCCATCCCCAGCACCTCAGGCTTTCCTCTATACGGCCTCGCGCCTCCAAAGTGCCAGGTCCGGCCAAACGGCGCCCAAACGGTCCGAAAAGGAGCTCCCAGCTTCAGATTTACATTTGGCATTTTCCGCCTTGTGGCAGCCTTCAACCCCGAACCTTTGCCAACCAAGCTGCTTTGGCAACAAACCGATGACGAACAGCATCAGGCCAGTGCCTCAGCCAGCAAAACTACCTTTTGATCCGCTGGCCCCTCTTGCAACACAGCAGCACAAGCCTTCTCTTTTGCATGCCGACTCCTGCACTCCACGAAAACACGTGTGGCCCCGTCAAAGCCCCATATCAGCGCCGTGGCCCTGGATACCTGAAAAGCACTGTCCAAAATCCCTACTTTAGGCCCTGACTTCCCTAGCAAAGTCAGGCATTCATAGAGAGCCCGTTTTATGTTGCTTCTTTCTCCCAGGTGGAGCCATCTGCGGTAGTTGGGTTCATGAGTCGTGGGTCAGCAGAAACCCCAGGCAAGCCTCTTAGCCCTAACCCGGTATTCACTCCCCAAATGGTTTGCTCATGTGGGCAAAGTTGGCATAAAATTACAAGTTCGGTCAACCTACAAATCTAACATGTTTTCTGAGGCCGCGTCTTTCAACCGCGGCTTATCTCTCCAAGGCGCGGCGGAGCTGAGCCTTGCTCTGCTTGGCCAGCACCGGCAGCGAGAAGGGCAGCGCGGCCGTGGCGAAGGTCAAGGCAGACAGGAACCAGGTAGGAGCATTCCAAATCTGCCAGGGGGGTTTCATGCCTATCTGCCACAGAACCACAGCACGCGGCCACGGACTGATTTGAAATTGTCGGCATTTCTTCGCAGGAATGCTTTTCGGGTTGGCTGGGTTGCTTCAAAAAGGGTCCCAGGGCAAGGTGGATATATGCACCCTCCACATAGGGATGATATATTGGAGCCACCGTTTTCTGCCTGGGCCCTTCTAGTTTTGGAGGCTGTTCGACATGTGATCCCTAATGCTACTCTGTATCCCATAGGGCACCATTACAAGGCAAACCAGGATCCATGACGACCACGCAACGAGTCCGCGCCTCCGCGTGCATAGGGAACCATGCTTGCAGCATGCCGGCGGAAAGGAACCCATGCCTGCCATGCTGGCCAACGTGGCCACAGGTCAGCATGCATACACCAGCTACACCAACCATGGCCTCATGATTTTCCCTTTATCAAAGTCACCCCTCAAGTGATGGGTTGAAAGAACAACCCCAGTTTCTGACTTTGGCAACCCCAGAAGCAGTCAAAATCATGACCGCAGGGAAAGCATTGATGATTTACCTGCCTGAAAAGCGCTATAAAGACTGGACACTTACCCTCTTTTTGGACCAGCTCCGGGCGGGAGCCTACGTAAGGCAACCCCGGTTGACGACGGCAATTGCTGCAAATTCTGGCACGGCTTTGTGCGTACCGAACATGACATGCCAGCGGCACCAAATTGCAGTTGGCCAGCCATTGAAGTTAACGTCGGCAAACAAGAATGCTGGCCTAAAGCGTCACAGACCGCAACAGCCCCCTGCTCTGCAAGTATGACTCCCACCACATTGTGGTCAGTGTCGCGGCTGGCACCATGGACATGCTCAACAGGGCACGGGCGAGAACAGCAACAGCACCAGCAAGTGTAACGGGAAGTAGCCGAAGACCTCGAGCCGGCAAGTCAGCCGTGCCGCTCACTTCCGGAACATGGGTTCCCAGACAATTCAATCTGCTGAGGCAACCACCTTCTGCAGAATCCATTTGGGTGAGGGCCTGGGAATGCAATCTGATGCTTAACCACGTCGGATTTGATGAGCATCATTGGCATCTAAATTCTGTCTGATGAAGCAACTTGGCAGTTCTTGACATGGCTCTCGTGTGTCCTTTTCACGTCTACGCTTGCCATAAGCAAGGAGTCATGAAGAGGAGGCTTGCTTCGCGCAACGGCGTAGGCCGCACTTTGCGGACCCAGCCTTTGCACAAACAACCGCTAGCCATTTGAGAGGCAAAAGCCCTCATACTCACTTCCTGAGCGGACCGGCCAAAAAAGAAACAAAACTTTTCCTTTGCGACTAAACTTGTCCTACCATGAAGGTGTCAAGTCCATAAACTCAGGGAGTGAGCTAATGAAACAGCTCAGCTGAATCACATCGATGCAGTGCCCAAGAAAATCGCTCCCTCTCGCAAATTTAATTTCACACCACGGGGAACACCAGCAAGCTGCACTCAATCTCCATAAGGTAGGCAAAGCCGCCATGGGTCACCTCCCATCCACCTAAGGATTCGCCAGGATTGAGCCAGCAGTACTGCTTCGCGCCTTGCTGCCTGAAATATGGGCTGATGGTCTCCTGCAGCCGGGCTCTAGGAATCTGTTGCACCTTGGTCGCCACCGGTTTCCCGAACTGAACCGGCACCAGCGGGCTGCCCTGAAGCGAAGTGGTCACCGCGTGCACGGCCAAGATCTCGCCCCCCCGGCAGTAGGCAAAGCCCCCGTACAAGAAGAGGTGCCCCAGCAACTGAAGATCACCTACAGCTTCGCTCAACAAAAGGGTATCTTAGATCTTGCTGGTTTCTCAATGCAGCAACCACCAATTCAAGTGAAACCTATTGAGAGCAGTGACCCTGAAGAGCATTGCATTGCTGCAAGCGCCGCTTGTAGCTGCCCTCATCAATGTGTCTGCATGGATAAATCCAAAAGGCGCTGGTGGCTTGATCGGGGACCGGCAGATAGTTGCACCTCTGCTGGACCTCAAACCGATTCGAGGTGACCAAATTGATGCAGGACCCGAAGATCTCGGCCACTGCTAGTGTGTCCACATTCTCCCCGCATGCGCCCAAAGATACGGACACTTCGGATAGATCCTGAGTCCCCAGATGACGAAAAAGCGGCACCTTTGTTTTTTTTGGTTACGATTGTACAGAGAAAGAAAAAAAACAAGAAAAAAAACAAATACAAAGGAACCGTGGCATCCTTGAATGTCCGGGAATCTTTCTGGGAATCTTTCTGGCCCGCGGCGATCAGGCTCCCGCACTCCAGAGGTTTGATCTTCAGTTCTGGGAGATGCTGCGGGAACTCGCTGGGATCGTGGTAGGTCCTTGCGAAGCGGTCGCTGATCACTCGCCAGTTGCCCTTGGTGTCCACCGTTTCGAACGCCACCAGCGATGGCTCGTTCCCTTCGTTGTTGATTCGCGCCACGAAGTCGCAGAGCGGAGTCAGCGTGTTGAGTGATTTGTCCATGGCCTGCAGGGAAGCAACGATCAAGTGCTCCGGCACATCTCGTCCAGTCCTGGGTGCTAAGACAAACAGGCAATGATCCCCCCTGTTGGTTTGTTTTTGTCCTTGGGAAAGGCGAGGCATGACAAACAAATACGAATTGTAGCACATACAATATCACATACAATCATACATACATATATATATATATATATACATGCGTATGTATCTAAATTTGGGTCGACCCTCAGAGAGCGCACATCCCACTGATGATAAAACAAGTAGAAACCGACATTCTAGATTCTAAATTAAGGGGCAGCCTGCCACAAAACAAATTGGGAATTCCTGGTGGTCCTTCTTGCTGAGGTAGTATGCCTAACACCCCAAAAAAACTAGATATGCATGCACATAAAGGTAATATTTATGTAATATGTATATATATATATGTATAAATAAATAATTAATTAAATAAATAAATAAATATATAAATATATTCATATATTACGCGTGTTTATTGATCGCGCGGGTCTGTTCAGCACGGTGCTTGATCCGCTGGCGGATGATTTGCTCCGAGGCGGAGATGTAAAAGATGGAGATCCGGTAATGTGGGTGTGTCTCCCGGATCTGCCTGAATACCTGGGAGCACGTCTTGAAATGCTTCCCTGGGAGCACGTCTGAAATACCCTTTGGCTTCGCAATACTTCCCTGCAAAGAGGGGATCTCTTGCTGGATTCCACATAAACTTAAAGGGGAGTTACTCCCAACAAAAATGTGCCCTCATGTTTTTTTCTTGCAGTTCCCCTTTGATCACATTCACTGGTGCCTTTATCCTCCGGTGTTGAGAATAAATGCCCTGAAAAAAAGGATCCCCGTAAACGGCCCCTACCCAAAGGAAAGGGCCCCCTTCAAGCTTTGACCCCACCTTTGGTTTCGCTTTAACCCTCGGTTTCCCCAAAAATGCTGTCCGCACCATTGGGCACGGGTCCGCCCGCCTGCTCATAGAACTTGGCGTCCCGCAGAGATCCGTCGATCCAAATGTTCTGGCGCTTCTCCATAGCTGCAGCCTGCGCCACCTCCAGGGAGTTGGCCATTCAAGCAGTCTAAACCATTGGATTTGTGCTGGTGGCTCTAGCTCCCTTCGCAACAACAATAACTTGTTTATTGGCTTTGCTGAAAGATCCAACCCAATTCCCGCCATGGCTTAAACCACTATGGCTTAAGCATGCAGGGCTGGGCCAAACACCTGTTACATGTTTAAACCATTTTAAACCACGGTCCAACCGCACAAACATCTTTCTTTGGCTTAGAAGCAACGATTGTTCAGCAGATACTGCTGTGTGACCGCCATTGTTTGAACCACAATGTAGGGGTTAGTCATGTCGTTTGTGGACCCTGCACGAGCTTGCGCAGGCTAATGAAGTACTGAACATATTTGGCCAAGCCTCTTGTTGGAACGGGGACCTTCTTGGGTTTTCTGGAGGGTCCGCGCTAAAACGGGCTTCAACCACTGTTGATTGAACAACCTTCTTTCAGCATCCGCTTGAAAAATGAGGAATTGGGCCTGGTTGTTCCAATTTAAAGTTCGCAACCCGTCCTCCACCATGAAGCAAGACTCTAAGTGGCACTTGGTCCCTGCTGAGTCTCGATCTCTTTTCACGTAATCCGGCCACTCGGGCATCATCATCTTGAAGGCATCCGGGTCGATGTGCACAATGTTCTCCAAAGGAAAGAAGCCGTGCTCAGACATCCAGGACAACGTGTAGCCCTGGTGGCGCTGAATTGGAAAGTTACGAGAATGAAGCAAATTCATTCGAATGTGAAGCAAATAGTCGAAAGACAACAACAACTAAGAGACGACAACAACAAGGATCAACAACAAGGATCAACTGCTCGCGCCAGGCCTTTCCCACTCCCATAGGGCCACATGTGTAGACAAGCCATGGGGCTGGTTGCTCCACCGCCCTCGAGATCACGTTCTTGATGGCCTGGAAAAAAGTCTATCATGCTGTGCCGGCGTACACACGGACTGCTTGAAGAATATTTCAGGGCTGCCGAGACTTTCAAACATTGGGGCATGCCAATTTCAGTCCCCAAACCTGCATGCAGAGCACACAAGCCAGGACTTTGTCGGTTTTCCCTTGCTGCATCTTATCCGTAAATCTTTGAAGTGATTCCAAAACCTTATTTCAAGGGACGCCAAGTCAAGGATCTGCATGGCGAGCTCGTTAGGCAGATCTTGCGGTCGCATCCACAAGGCTAGCGACAAAGTGGGCACAGTTGGGATAAATGAAACCCTATGATTACTTGAACCCCCATACCAACTCATCCTCGTCCATCCACAGTATCGGCGCCAAACCGCCCAACCCCCAATCCAATTTGAACGGCTTCGCTTTTGCAACTCTTGCCTGGTCTTGCCAGTTCTGCCTCTCTGGGGTGTAGTTCACATGGTAGCTGTAGTCGCAGACTTCCCGGATCTTGCTGAAGACCCCGTGGAAGGCCATGGCCTCCTGAAATTCTGCGCGCCTGAAATTCGACTCAAGACAAATGCTGCAGTCAAGCTGCATGTCAGAACGGTTGCTTGTCACATGAAGCCGAAGGATTGGTGACTCTCCGTCGGGTTCGGCAAAGGTGTCTTTGGACCATCGCATGCACCAACAAAGCCCGTGTGCGGCCACAATGCCTGCTGAGTGACAAAGGTTTGAGCAAAAAGGGCACTCATCAGGTTACTAGCAAGAACTTTGAAGTGCGGCTCTCACCAAACAGGAAGGGCCGGAATCAATCCTGGGTGCTATATAGGCTTGGGTAAAATCCCAAGCAGGAAGGGAAAGGGGGGTTCTTGGTTAAACTCCCAGGCCAATTCCCATCCCATATCCCATGTCCTCACGGTAGTTCTCGCTTGTGGGCTTTGAGTAATCATAGTCCTCGGGAGTTATGAAGCCGTTGTCACAGCCCAAGCCTCGGCGAGACTTTTTTGCGGGGGGCACAGCTGGGCACTCCGCTCCCGTTCTTGTTGCAACGCCCTTTTTGAGGTGTGCTTCTAAGAAACCAACGGAAAATCTACCGTGTATTTCTTTTCTATTCAGTTTCGGACACATGCCAATTTGGCGTGCATTTACAAAAGCCAGACGTGAAACACATCTGAAACTCCTCTCTGCAAGAGTTGGTAAGAAATGGCACAATCACTAAACTGGGACTGTGGTTTTGCTTGCTTTCCGTCTGGTTTCCCTTTCAACCTGGATACCCCACCAATAAACACACCCACACACACATGACACTCGCTTACTTAACATGGAACCCGCAAGCATCCCCCACAAGGATGTTCTTTTGGGTTGCACCGTAAACTGCAAAGCAAGCAACGAGAGTTACTGACGTAGCCAAGCAACGGAGCCGCTTCACGAAATTTTGCAGAGTATGGCTTGCAGGGCCGCTGGCCACTGCCTTGGCGAACTCCCTGAGGGTCACTATGCCGTCGGAGTTCGCGTCTATCGATTCCTCACACAAGCGGCGAACGCCTGTTTGGTGTTTTAGTACAGGGGGTGCCAACCGGAGGAATGCCACCATTTTGATTTCAGTGTCTTGGTTTGAGAACCCAGTTGGGTGCAGTTTTGGGGCTTGTGAGTGCAGGGGTGGGGGGCCAAACGAGAATACATCAGCGCGCATGTCACCTGTGGCTCGGGAACCCGAACCCCTATGATAAAGCTTGCAATATGCAGAACCCAGCATCCACAATCTGTCCGGGTTAGCTCCGTGTCGCTCAAAACGATTGCTGAGTATGTTTCCCTCTTAAGATTGCCCCAAAAGGACACTCGCTTCAATTTGGCCTTAAGAAGGCGATTTTCGCACCCACCGACCAAATGAGGGAAACACCGCCGCTGAATGCCGAGGCGCATAGAGGCGCTTCAGCTCGCCCTCCTTGAGGTCGTTGAAGCCCAAGCGCTGCGACATGGCCTGCAGATGCTCCAGCCGGAGATCCTCAGCGACGCACAAATTGACGGCTGTCGTGGTTTTGAAGGTACCCGTTCTGGGATGGGAAGCCAAAAGAAAACCCGGACCTTTTTGGGGTCCCCCCTAATTTCTGAGAGATGCCGTTTTGGAGGCGAACAGCTCAAGCTGATTCTGCCAATGGCACTGAAGATGCCGCTGATGGACAAAACCCCTTCGCCACCAGTTGGGATGGATGAACCCCTACTAACACCGGGGCCAAGATAAACCACCTACCAACCTGGTGCAGCATTGTGGAAATCCACAGTAAGGACTCACAACGAAAGCTAAGCGACAATGAAGATGCGATTGGAGGGTAGGGTGGGATGAAGGGCTGCAAGTGCTCAATAGCGCAACGGCTACTGACAGCAGGTATGACTTGGTTATATGGGCTTGTCCCGGTAGGGAAAAGAGCAATTTGACAATATTGATCACCACGTATTGTTGCGCCCTGTTTAGGGACAGGGGTGCATTACGTTCCTCCGCAAGTGCTGCTGCCGCGGGATCGGTGTGAAGTGCGCACACCAAGTGGCTGCCAACAGCAAACCCTCAACTGACTCGATTGTCATCCTACACTAGCTCCCATCAGTAACTCGTGACCGGTTTCGACGCAAGTGCCACGAATACTCAGGATCTGTCCTGGCGTTCGCTCTCCTTTTTCAAGCACAAACCAAAGGCCCCAGGAAGATTTCTAAGAGCGCACAGAGTCCACCCCTGAAGTGTTCTTAGAGGTTCTGAGAATATGTCAGGGTGGGGGAGTGGGGGAAGTCTCCGCAAAGCACAACGCTGTTTCAACTAAGGCCCACTCGTAGGCTGAGATATGCCTTAGCTCCCGCTCACTCGTCGCAGCGACATGCAGCCGATCAGCGCCCTCACGGTCCCGAATCCAGGACAATAAGCAGAACCCTAGCTCATTTGTTGCACAAATGTCATCAATTAAATGGGCTAAATCCCTGGTTGATTTGTTTTGGGATTCTTGAGGGAATTCTTCTCATAGTCGCAGTCCAGATTCAGATTGCTGCGCAAAAGTGCAAACGAACCAACCAGACTCAACATTTGGGCGTGATACCAGCTTTGCACCAGTTTTATGGAAACTGCACGTGAAGTATTTCGATGCATTTGACGTATTTCGATGATGCCCGGTTTGGCGTTGTTTGAAAAACAAACTACATGAAAGCCACCCATTTGGCGTGTTGAAACTAAAAGGCCCCAAGAATTGAGGCTTTCTTTTAGCAGCCCGTAAAACCAAAAGAAAAAGGACTGAAGTTTGGGTACCGTCAAAAATCGGAGCACTACCCGACTTCTTGTGGGATGACATCATGCAAATTGTGCAGCCGCGCTACTGCAGGTGGGTACTCCTCACTGCCTCCTGGTAGAAGTGCCGGATGATCTCCATAGCGTCGCTGTTCTGCCCTTGGCCCAGGGGAGAGCCAACATCAGTGTCTGTGCTCGCCACACAAAGCGAGGCCAAGGTCTTGCTTCTCCACTGGAGGGCACGCATCATTTCTGCCTGGCAGCGCTTGTCGCTTGCCCTGTGAATGGACGAAATCGGCAAGCCCTCTGGTATCCCCTTTATTTTTTGCGCAGGACTTGTTAGTGACTGCACATATGCCCCCACCCCCCAAAAAACAACAACAATAACAACACTTCCTGGGGTTTTGCTTCAGGAGCTTCAGGAAAGAAAAGCAAGAAGTCCCCCCTTAACATGTTTGGCCAACCAACACTGGCATGGTTTTTTGAAAGCGGACTCTTAGTCGCCGGGATTGCAACCCAAGCCACTGTACCCTATCTACTGCGGGTGCAAACACTTGGCATAGCCCCATGCACTATCAGATTCTGCTTTATACTTAATTTATCCGTAAAATCAATGGACACAAGGAGGCCCCAGAACAGGAGCAGTGGAATATGTTTCCCTCCGGGCCTTGCCACCCTCGCTGAGAGTGCCATCATCTTCCAATGTGAGAGGCTTGACTTCGTCAGGCGTGCCACAGTTGGACTGCTCACAACCCATGCTCTTCAGCCCAACCTGGCCACAGCCCATGCAGCCCAGCGAGTCTGGCCCGCCGGAAAATCTGCAGGAGCACGTGATTGAAGTGGCTCACACAAGCATAGGATGCAGGTGTCTGAACCAACTATTGCCGACTTCTTTTGAGCTGCCCTTGAAACTCATGAAGCTATGCTCCTCAGTCCGTGACGGTTATGTTTGAGCCTCTCCCCCCCCAGCGGCTTGCGGCAGAACCATTGGTGACACTGGTGCCAACGCAGCAGGGGCAGCACTTGCCCGGGGATGCTGAGAATCCTCCTACGCCCTTTTCCACTTGATGGCGACGGTCAACTTCCACAGGTGTGTTGTTTAAAGCCCCGCACTTGAGGAAGTTGACGTGAAACGTATAATTCCATGATTCCCATGCACACAAATGGCTGGTGACTCTGCACGCGAGAGAGCGGGGCTCCCCGAAATCCAGCCGAACAGCTCGTCAAGCCCGTCAGTGATCGCCAACCGACCGGATTTGTAGCATCATTTCCTTACTTGGTTAAAGGTAGCCTTGGGGCAGGGCGTTTCCGTGCCATTGTGTCATAAGATTTGGGTGGTCTATGGTTGTCTCCTGATTGTTTCCCTTGAGCGCGTGTTGAACCACGCATCATTCTGTGCAAAAAATGGCTCTTCAGGTTGGGGCATAGTCGCAGTCCAGATTCAGGTTGCTGCGCAAAAGTGCAAATGAACCAACCAGACTCAACATTTGGGCGTGTCGCCAGCTGCGCACTACTTTTATGGAAACTGCACGTGAAGTATTTCGATGTGTTTGACAGTTTGACGTATTTCGATGATGCCCGGTGTGGGGTTGTTTCAAACACAAACCACATGAAAACCACCAATTTGGCGTGTTGAAACTCTCGTCTGCCAGCCGAGCGAGTGCGGGCGCTCCGAGGCTTCGACGTGTTGAGGAGCTTAGCGCTCGCAGCGCGCTCCGCGTTCTCCGTGGTGGTGTAGGCCTAAAAATGCCCGGCCCGAGGCGGCTTGGCTTCGAACCAAAACGGCCCACCCACCTGAAGGTTCTCAGCGCCTTCTTAGGAGATCGCAATTCGACGGGGTTTTAGAGCGTTTGTCGTACAAATGGGCTTTCAAACCCAACAAACCAGACAGCACCAAACCCCGTTCGGACCGTTTCGGCTCCTTTTCAAGAAGCTTCCAGTAGTGATAGTTTCCTGTAAAGACAACAGGTGAAATAACACACAGCGAAGTTGAGGGTTCCACGCCCCACCCTATAGGCCCTTCACGTCAACCAACCGTGAGCCAAACTTAGGTATCTGCAGTGAAACAACAGTGGCAGCTTCTCGATTTCATTCACAAGTCCAAAAAGAAAAGGTCTGCTGTGGGTGGAAATCAAACACAAAGCGAGGAGCTCATCGAGGCCCTACTTTCGCGAGCTTGCCATCCCGCTTGAGCCCTGTCAAATCTCAACCCAGTCGACAGTCGTAAGTCGTATGGATGGACAGAACCAATTTCGCACCGGTTACCCCAACTGGCACCAAGAGGGTTCGATTCTGCCCATCCACAGTGTTGATTGCCTGCCCGCATCCCGCTCAGCCCTCTGCGGCGACATACCCGCTGAGGGCAAAGAAGGCGCCAACCTAAACATGCGCCACACGACCCACGGTCAAAACCTGCGTGGGTCATGGTCTATACATTCCCTTACTCAGAGAACTTACCTGTAGGTGTTGGCAAGCATCCCTATTAAGATGTGCACGGCAATCCCCAACAATCCCCGCATAAATTGCCGGCCCTTTGTTCGAAGCTCCCACCAGGCCCGTCTGAGCCACCAGCAACCACGTTGATCTGCGAGATCGCCTCAGTTTTTTCCGCTGCAGCTCAAGGCCAAGGCCAAGCTACATACCAAACAATACCACACCTTTCGCACAGGGCCGGGCTTTGAATGCAAACTCATTGGGCCCCGCAAAGGTGATGAAGTGCCCGCACCTCGGCCACGCACTGGCTGGCAGTCTCCGAGGCAATGATCACACCCCCTTTGCGGGTTGCCTGGCACCCTGGTCTGGGGAGAAGCAGAGCCAAAGATGAGACTCCCAGGAACTTCCCCTACAGATGGCCCTGGGTACCCTTGGATGCCCCTGGGCTGGCTAATCCTCATGCCATCTCATGCCTGATGCTTCCTGTGTGTGTGTGTGTGCGCGTTTATTTTCGGATTGGAACCCGTCCTACGCCATTTGCGAACAAACAAAATTGTTATCCGGTGGCTTTGGAAGACATGTTTTGTCGCCAGGCCGCCTCAAAACAGGGACAAGACAAGATGCAAATTGCAGCACGTCCAGGCGCGGCGCACAATGTAAGCAATCAGGAAGAAGCGGATGGAATCAAAAGACGTGATTCGTACCTCAGGTTCTTCCCTCTACACTGGCAGCGCTGCCCCAACACGTCAACAGGCAACAATGCAAAACCAAGAGCTTGCGTGCGGAATGGGCAATACCATGCCAAAATAACCCCACACCATCCCGCCGACTCAGCGTAATGCGCAGAACCTGAAATAACATATTTTTCCCCGAGAGACCTTCCTCACGGGCGAGCTCTTTTCTCCCAAATAGCTCCATTGAGCTCAAATTGGCTGTGGGTCAAAAATAGGTACCCAAAATGGAACCCTGGTAAGTGGCAACATGGACCAAACCTGTGGTCCCCTTAATTTTGACCCAAACCAATTTGTTTCCTGCCTTCTTGGGCTTCGGTGGTGGAGCTCCTGCCTCTGATGCTTCAGCTGCCCTGGGCCCAATGGCTCAATGGCTCACTGCGGCCCAACGAATCGATCAAAATCGGGGTCCATTCAATTCCTCTCTGAACTCCAACCGAGAAGCAAACTGACTTCACAAAGGCCTAACTACTGATGTTTGAAGCCGCAAAACAAGAGAAACAAAGGAAACCCTCGCAGAACCTGCTGCGGGTCTTTCGCTGGACTGCTTGAGGCGAAGGCAGTTGCTGCTGCTGCGGCCTGTGACGGATCGCCTGGGCAAATCCCAGCAGCGCACAAATCGTGCAAATGAAACTTGCAACAAACCAACTAAGGCCCCAAGCACGAGCGCCGCCCACCAAAGCAGCCCCGGCAACCAGAAATGAGACACGGCTGGAAAATACTGACTCCTGCGGCAGAACGGGAGCTTTGTGAATCGCACGCACGGTTGCTGCAATCAGGCAGTGTCAAGAAAATAGCAAGTGCCTGGTCCGCATGAACAACAACAAACAAGTGGAATCAAATGGATCACGCAACGGCAAAACACAAACAGTGTCCCTGCCGCGCCTCTTGGATAGGCTCAGCGCTATGCAACTGCGTTGCCTTGTTGCTGTGCGCAAGACACATGATGGTCAAGGGCGTTCTGAGCATTCCACCCGTGAATCAAAGATGACGGAGTTCGCACTTGGTTCTTGCGCAGGAGCAAGGAATGCCCAGCCTGGCAGCAAACATTTCAACGGGCCAATGTGAAGGGTATAGAACCCGAGCAGGAAGTACCAGCGTATTGTGACCTCAAGGAGGGAAGACTAGAACAACTCATTGCGCAATGGCTGAGGGTCGAACAGCAATGTTGCTGCCACAATGACAGCTGCCACCAAGCCGCGGGCCCCGCGCCTTGGTGACAGCCAGTTTGCAAAAACCGCCAGGTGCAACCCTTTGAGGTCTGAACCGCTTGTCTACATGCTTGCTGGTGGTGGTCATCGTGTGGCAATGCTATGTTGCCAGGCGGCCGAATCAAGGGGGATGCACGTTAGCATTTGGCCATACTTGGCCTCCAACGTGGAAACACAAGTTTCAATCCGCTTTGTAGTCACAGCTCATTGGCAACCTAACCATGAGCCGCCATATCGCGAGTGCAAGTTTCTCATAGCTTGCCAGCATGCACAGCTTGCATTGCGAAACCAGCACGAAAAATGCAGCATGCATTTGTTGTTCCCCACCCGACAGGAAGGGGTTGTTAGACTTGACGTTGGAATCCGCGTTTGCGATGCTTCTACACCACGCCCCCGCCCAGTAATTATCCCGCGAGCGGCTCGCCAGTGAGTATCCCGAAGGTGGATCCCGCCCAGTATCCCGCCAGAGCTGCTCGCCAGTGGATCCCGCGAGTATCCCGCCAGAGCGGCTTGCCAGTGGATCCCGCCGAGTATCCCGCCAGAGCAGCTCGCCAGTGGATCCCGCCGAGTATCCCACCAGCCAGTGAATCCAGAGTAGCTCGCCAGTGGATCCCGCCGAGTATCCCGCCAGAGTAGCTGGCCAGTGGATCCCGCCGAGTATCCCACCAGAGCAGCCCGCCAGTGGATCCCGCAAAGTATCCCGCTAGCTCGCCAATCCTGGTGCGTATCGTTTGCCGGTGGATCCTGCCGAGTATCCGGCAGTATCAAGCCGGAGCGGCTCGCCAGTATTCGCCAGTGGATCCCGCCAGTATCCCGCCAGAGCAGCTCGCCAGCCTGGCTTTGCTTAATGTCCCGCCTGGCGCACGGTTGGGTTTACATTTCATGCTGGTGCCTTCGTGAGTTGAGTGTACCCTGAGGCTCGGAAAGGGTGATGTTTCTGTGTTGCTTTGGGTTGTGAATAAGCCGTCGGGTTTCCTTTTGGAAGGCGCTTGGCTTTTGTTCACGGAACCGATGTTTGAGTTCTCGAGATCGGCTCGCAGACAAGTGGAGGTTGACGCACAGACAGGTGGATAAGGCTCTCAACGCAAAGCAAGCAACTCGAAAACCATGCTTGAATTCACACAACCCTGATCACGGTCGTAAGCTCGTGAGTGTGGAGGGTGGGGATCGCTCGAAGCGAAGTAATTGTTGTTGTTGTTGTTGTTGTTGTTGTTGTTGTTGTTGTTGTTGTTGTTGTTGTTGTTGTTGTTGTTGTTGTTGTTGTTGTTGTTGTTGTTGCTGCGGTTGTTTTTTCATGACTGCCGTCTCAGCTGGCCAGCTCCCCTCATTCGTGGCGCCGCCGGAAAAGGGCAAACGGGTCGGCGGGGCGGGCTGAACCCAGTTGAGGAATAGCCGCAAACGAGAGCAAGGCAGACCAAGTCAGCCGTGTGACAGCAAGCAGGCGCCGCCATGGGTGGACAACCCATTTGCCCCCACAGCCTCAAGTCACTGGCGTTGGCTACACCCGGGCGGCGCCTGGCTCAAACGAGAACGATGCTCGCCAAACAAAATCAAACATATATGACACCGGCATGGTCAGGCGTGCGCGCGCCGAGGGCGAGCCGGCGCCGGCAAACCCAGCAGCACTGAGCGCCAGTACGCAGAGCGACCCTCTTCAGGCCATGCGCAACTCGAGATTTGCCCAAATTCCCAAAAGAGACGACAATGCGCAGTCGCCTCCTGGACGACGCACGGCCCCCTGAAAAAGAACGCGCCGCCCTCCGCGGAAGGATGGAAACCTTTCCACCGGTCGAGGCTTACGACCATATATCGCGCGCGAGCATGTTGAGTGGCTTGCAGCAAACGCCCAGCCTAACGGAGATGGCGCCCTTCGTGGCCCAGTGTTAAGCTAGAAGAGTGCCAACACTTTCCTTCCCTGCCCTCTTCGTTGCCGTCGCCTTTGCCCTTTCCTTTATTATTGTCCAATTTGTGTTTGTGCTTCGGGTTATGGGAATATGGACAATCCTTCCCTTTGAGACATCCTCCTTCTTTTGTGTAGTGGAAGACGCACGGCCATTCCTTCTTCTGTTCAGGACTCATGCTTTTCCCTTTTCCTTTTCCTTTCCCTTCTTGTCGTGATCTTTCGCTTTCGCTTTGGGTAGCACTGGTGCTGCTGTGTTTCCATCATCTTCCTTCCCGGAACTTCCTCCTTTTCCCTTTGCCTTCTTCTTCCCCGTTGGTGCTGCATTCTTGTTGCCGCTCAGCAAGTTCTTGACTGACTTCTCCTTCATGTCGTAGACGTAGTCCTCGCGATCAGTCCGAAGTTGTCGATCAATGAATCCTAAAAGGGGGTGCCGCGTACGAAATCGCGCAAGGCGAGGGAGGCGAACCGCGTCCATTTGGGCAAGACGCGGGCATGGAATGCCGCGCGTGAGGAACCTGCACTACTGTTTTTTTTTCACACGCCTTTTTGCATCAGCACGAGTCGAGCCTCCCGAAACATTGCTTAAGGGTGTCCCCCAGGCACCAGGGGCACTCACGCTGCTTTTTTGAGGCCAGCGTCCTCACCCGCTCAAGCGGCTTGCAAGGGGTGGGGCGGCAGCCTCCTTGCCTGAGTGGCGGGGCGTTGGACTGGCCAGGCAAGACAGAGCCGAGGAGGAGGGACTCCGCGAAGGCCTGGTGGGCGGCAGACGCGAGCAAGGCGGACCAACGGGCAACGAAAGCGGAGACGACTGAAGGCTGAAGGAGGGCCGGCGTGGAGCGAGCTCGCGCACGAGGCTGCGGAGGAAGCTGCGCGCTTCAGGGCTCCACCGGCCCCCAACCTCGATGGCAAGCAGGGCGGGCGGCCAGCGTGTCTGCGGGGCTTGCCGGAAGAGGGGAGAGGCGAAACCAACGTGGTCTCGACCGCTACCTGAGCTCCATTCCAAAGGGGGAGGCCGTTGGCGACAACCAGGCGCCGGTCATCCAGACAGTCGACCGGGAGGTTCATGTCTGCAAGGCGTGAGTTGACCGTGACTCGAGCGCCTGCCTCGCGGCAGACCCGAGCGGCTCGCTCGAGAGGGCAACCGCGGCTCCGCAACAACCCAGCCGGGCGCATGCTGCGCGGTGGTCGGCCCGCATCAATTTGCTCTGTCTACTCGCTCTGGCACCGACTCGGTTGTGCACGCCCTATGCAAGCGAGCTTGACCCGACTGCCTGATGGGGTAGGAGCCTTTGACACGACCTCTCGCACTGCCATGCTGCGTGGCTTGCAGTCTGTTTGCCTGCCTTTCGTGCGTCTCTTCTAGGAGTTTGTGTGGCATGACGCTGATGGCGTCCCCCATGCGGTTTTCCAGGCGGAGGGGGAACAAGGAGACCCTTCAATGCCGGCGCTCTACGCTCTCGGCCAGTCCTTGGCCCCCTGCATCCCGCGGACTTGTTGCGCTTGGTGCTCCGTTGGGTTCCCCCATGTTTGTGGCTGCTCAGTTGCAGCGCCTGTCCGCCAGCCACGCCGGCCTGCTCCAGCGCATCCGTGGGCTCGAAGATTTGCAGGCTTCGTGGCTGCTGTTGCTGTTCTGCGCGTCCCCTCGGTGCAACCATGTGCGTCGGTTGCTCCAGCCGGGCCCCACCGCGGATTTTGCTGTTGCTCATGACGCAGCCTTGCTGGACTGTTTGTCGGACTTGTTGCAGCGCGGCCCTTTGCCAGCTCCCCGCTTCCCTTGCGCTTCGGGGGTCTCGGCCTGCGTTCTGCTGTTACTTCAGCCCCTGCCGCTTACTGGGCTTCCTGGGCTGATAGTTTGCCCGCTTTCCAACGCCAGCTCCCTGCGTTGCTCGAGGTAGCCCTTCCCCGCCTCGAAGCTGGCGTCAGCCCCGCCTTGTGCTTGCAGGCTGCTGCGGCGGCCGTCGCCAGCTTGTCCTCTCCCTCCTGGCGTGCCCCCACTTGGCATGAAGTTTTGGCCTGCTCCTTTGCTTGAGGACTCCGATGGCCTCGCCTTGCTTGGGGATCCTGGAAAGCGCGTGACGCACAGGGCCACGAACAAAAGCCGCCACGGATGGTGGCTAACAAGGGCAGTAGCAACGGGTGGCTGTGACAACGTGGGCTGGACAGGGACCGGGTCCTGTGACTACAAGGCATGCCAGTCGATGCCTAATCGGCAGAAAAGGGCCTCGAGCTCCGCACCAAACCCGGGCTGCCAACCTTGGCGGCAAACAGCACACTGCATGCGCCAGATGGGCGCGAGACTGCGGTAGACACAAAAGCATGGTAGGCGTGTCCGGCCGCGCCAACGCCATCAGGAAGAACAAGGTCCAGACAAGCGGGGCAATTGTCAGGATCAGGCAAGGGAGGAGTGGGGAGCCGACTCGTCGTTCGGCAGCACCGGCGTGACCGCAGTGAGCGCATCTTGCGTGGCCACTGCCGGAGTGTCAGGATGCGCTTCAGGACGCGCGCGAAGAAGGTACGAACTCTGCATCGACAGAGGCTGGGCTGGACATGGCTGCCAGGTGCCAAGCAAGCAAAGCAAGCAAGCAAGCCAATGCTGACCACTGGTTTTAACTGGGACTGTCCCCCAGCGGCCGCTTATTTACCCTGGGACGGCCACCCAGGTGCCGTTTGGTAGACCGGTACCGGCCACCAGTAGTGCTGACCGCTTGTTTCCACTGGGGCGGTCCCCCAGTTGAGTTGTTCTTCCTTCTTTTTTTCTCCTTCGAGCCCGGTTCTTCACCTTGTTGTTTATTCCCGAAAGCATGGCGAAGCGTTCTTCCGCTAGGTTCACTTGAGTTTACTTGAGTTGTTCCCATGAGAGTCAGTACAAGGAGTCATTGCAAGGAGTCATTGCAAGGAGTCATTACAAGAAGTCATTACAAGGAGTCATTGCAAGGAGTCGTTGCAAGGAGTCATGAGAGTCATTGCAAGTGCAAGTTGCAGGTGCAAAAAGTCAAGTGCAAGTTGCAAGTGCATGGAGTCAAGTGCAAGTTGCAAGTGCAATTGACTTGGGAGGAGATAAAATCTCTTCTTGAGGCAGTTTCGTGGTTTTCGTAGCCCAGCATGAGCCACGCAGAGCGTGTGACGTCAAGCTGAGTTGGTCAACCTTAATGCGTTGGATGTTTCCGAAGCGCATGCTGGTATGT